TTGGGAAAAAATACACTTTAATGAATTTTAATGCAAAAAACACTATGTAAAACCCAATCTTTTTGGCAAAATATAAAAGATGAGGCTACGCTGAGTAAATAGATACCTAACATGTCACAATTTAAATTTGCACACGCTTGCGGAATGGCAACAAAAAGCACAATACTTAAAAATACTTAAAAGGTGACGCTTTCAAAATTTTTACCGGTTACCAGTTTAGAGTTACAGAGGAGGTCTAGAACTAGAATTGTTGCTCTCCCTATAACATTCGCAGTGACACCTTTGGTGTGAACACTGATTAGATATGCTTGCGCAGCCTATGTATGTGTTCACCTCTGCGCACAAGCACAGGGGGAACAGGGGCACTTAAGAAAAAAAAATTAAATTTATTTTATTACATTTTTTTTTTCTTTTTTAACACTGCCCTTTATTTTTTTTTACGTCACTTTTTTTCTATTACAAGAAATGTAAGCATCTCTTGTCAAAGCAATAAAGCATGACAGGTCCTTTTTAGGTGACAGACCCCAAATCTTTCCTCTGTCATTGAAAGCATGAGATTCAAAAAAACAACCAACATTGAACTCATGCTTTCCAGAAAAATAAAAATGCTGGTCTCTTCCAGTCTCCAAACTTTCTAAACAAAGGTTTAGTTTACTATCCTTCAAGCCTTAGGAAGGCTAGACTGTGGTTAATGTGAGTAGAAAATTCCCTGGCGTTCCCTGGGAATAAACAATGTCCCATCATTGGTTTTAGTAGGAGGAATAGTGCCTCAGGCTCGCAGGAAAAGGATGAACCAGCAAACACAAATGCTCCTGCGCTTGGGGATGGACTCGATGCAGGCTACAACCACATTAAGAATGTCCTGGAACATGCACACCTTGCTGCCCTCAAATGGACCGGGGAAATGCAAATATACTGAATGAGGAAAGAACAAAAGAGAGGGCTCACGGGCCTAGTGCATTACCATAAAAAATGTTTAATAAGAAATAAAATAGGTGTTGTACTCACAAACGAGAATAAAGTCAGGGCACATCGTAAAAGAACAGCTGGGTCAACACCGCACTGAGTAACAGTCCGCAATGGGGAGTGTAGACATCCAATAGGCTGACGCGCTTCGAGGACACAAGCTCTGAGGAAGAGGCAAGTCCTCGAAACGCGTCAGCCTATTGGATGTCTACACTCCCCATTGCGGACTGTTACTCATCGTGGTGTTGACCCAGCTGTTCTTTTATGATGTGCCTTGACTTTATTCTCGTTTGTGAGTACAACACCTATTTTATTCAGCAGGAAAAGGGTCCCTACACTTTTCCAGAAATCGCAGCTTGCACTGGGAACCGCACTGTATTGTAGTGCGGGTGGCGTGCCATTAAGATTAATGGAACCCACCCACTGGTCCCACATTTTGTACACAGGTGGTTGCAGCTGCGGGACGAAGAGCAAGTCTTGCAGCAGCTTCCACCCACACTACTGTGAAATGAGCATCATTGTTAGTATGAGTGGGAAGAATAATGCCCTACCGATGATATCAGTGGGAGGTATGGTGCCCCATCATTGGTGTCAGGTGGAGGAAAATTGTCCCAAGCGACGGATAAAGGCAAGCAGGGGGCCACAGCTTGGAGACCACTGTCCTAGACCATAGAGATGAACAGAGATATTCTAGTCCCTGATCACCTCTGTTGTGAGCTGCTGCAACTGCTGGATTGGATCCCATGCTCCCTAGTGGGACAGGAGTGCCCAGAATACCAGGTAACCTCACCAAAGTGGCAGCAGGAAGGGGGTGATGATCCCTCCCACCTCTTGTAAAAGTGATCCAGCAGCTAATTGGCCACTAAGAACGCTTCTACAGTGTAGGGCATTGCTGCCTGAAAAAAATAATTCCAGGGTTATGGCTGACAGTATAACCACTTGAAAACAGTCATGTACATGTAAGAGAATCTGTCACTATCAATTCAAGGCAAAGTGTCAGGTTCTCATGAAAGCTCACCAACCTCACCTCCTAAACTCATCCTTGCTGTACCCCCACCCTGTTCTTGTGTTGGAGCCATTTCAAATGCCTGGTGCTTTTGGATATGGAGGAACCTGTGTCCTTCTCCGTACCTCCAAAATGGCAGTATTTGGGCCTGGGTTGCCAATCGCTTGTCTGAAACACTGTTCGAATAAGGGAGGGGATCAAGTCACCAACCATAGGTAAACTCCATCACTGTCTGGCACAAAGCTTACACAGGAGTAAGACCCATGGCTTTGATGGAAAATGGAGCTTTGGGAAGCTGAGCATAACTGGTGATGGGAGGTGAGCTATTGGGAGAACCTGTCAGTTTGCCCTGAATAGGCAAACTGACTAATTCTTTATAAGCTCAAGGTTTAGGAAATTTTTTAAAAATGATCCATGCCTTATATATTGCACCTTAATAAGACTGAGCAGGGCCGGACTGACAACTCATGGGGCCCCTGGGCAATAGGGGATCATGGGGCCCGTGTCCTTGCCCAAACTCAAAAAAGCCTATGAAAAAGAAAAAAAAAAAAGGTACCAGGGACATCTCATGGGGCCCCCTACTGACCCCGGGCCCTCGGGCAGTGCCCGAATTTCCAAATGATCAGTCCACCCGAGTACTATAATTGTTTTATGTTCACTAGATTTTAGGGTTCTGCTCGCTTTTCTAGGCCCAAGAAAACCTATTGTTTAAGGGAAATGTGAAGTCTTTTCAGTGTTTTCTTTTATTGTAAATAAACATAAATTGGATTAACCAACTGTAAATCATTTTATCTAATGGGGCTTTTAAAAAGGTGCTACACAAATATTTCCAGACTTAAATAGCTAAATTATAATTCATTATTTATTCACAATGTCTATTTACAAGGCTCCATGCACACTAGTATTTTTTTTATGCTCCTAGAAGCTATTATCAGAATATTTTTTTTCTGCTTCTAGAAGCTAAATAGTGTTATCCTATGTGTCCATGCACACTTTAGGCTATTAGCATGTTTGAGCTTCATTGTCTACAAAAAAAACATTTTTTTTTCTGCTTCTAGAGTTTTTTTTGAGCATTTTTCTAGCAGAAAAAAATGTTAAACGCTCCTAACAACTTTTTTCTAGCTTTTTTTCCCCGGTACATGTACTGTAAAAACCCTACAAAAAACACTATTACCAGCATTTTTTCCCAACTTTTTTTAGCTTAAAAAAAAAAATTGCTAGTGTGCACGGAGACAAAAATGTACAAAAAGACACAATGGGGGTTATTTACTAAAACTGGAGAGTGCAAACTCTGGTGCAGCTCAGCATAGAAACCAATCAGCTTCCAGGTTTTACTGTCAAAGCTTAACTGAACAAGCTGAAGTTAGAAGCTAATTGACTACCATGCAGAGCTGCACCAGATTCTGAGTGCTCCAGTTTTAGTAAGTCAACCCCATTCTGTCTCCTAATTAGGGACATAGCATACATGAAAAACTTTGTAAATTTCAGCACTAACAGGTCTACCAAAGAGGAAGATGACCACAAATGATGTATGATATACAATGGATCATGAACTTCACCAGGAATGTGTAGTGGATGCTGCCCTCCTCACCCGGGGAGGTCTTATGAAAACTACAAAAAGAACAAACAGGTGCATGCAAATGCCTAGTGCATTACCAACGAGCTATTGTTCACAAAACAGACATGCCAAACAGATACTCACAGAAGTGAAAAGTAACATTGCATAAAAGCCAAAAGATGCTTCAGAAAGGGAAATCACGTGTGTTCATGCAAACCAGCTGGACTGGCAAGCAGGCGTGTTTCAGAAGCATACCTCCTTCCTCTGAGCTATGTGAACCATGGGTGCACATATGGACTGTGCTAGGTGCATGGCAGGGCCCATTCTGCTGATGGGAACGCAGTGGAAAACGCTGGACAGGTGGTTGTAGACAAGGCTCAGCATGTCTCACTTAATTGGAAGCTACAGTGGAAAGATGAAGAAGAGTTAACTGGAGAACAGTTATGGTGCAAGTGTGCATGGTGTAGGTTTATCTCCAATGTTGGAGGCCCGCCTTAGAGTTGAGTATTCCTCCATGACAGCCTTTTGCCAGGGCATTAATGAAAATGACACAGGGCAAAAAAGGTACCCCATGTGTGAGACAGACATTCTGTACAGGTGCCTAGTGTAGCCCAGAAAAACCCATGCTCTGGGGCAGTCCTCTTATATGACCCAGACAGGGGCGGACTGACAACTCATGGGGCCCCTGGTCAATATGGAATCATGGGGCCCCTGTGTTCTTGCCAAAACTAAAAAAAGCCTATGAAAAAGGTACCAGGGGCATCTCATGGGGCCCCCTACTGACCCCGGGCCCTCGGGCAGTGCTCGAGTTTCCAAATGGTCAGTCTGCCCATGGACCCAGATTTGGCGGCCAACGAGTTAAAGTACATCAGCTCTGCCCTTCCCACAAACTAGCTTGCACAATAAAAATAAACAAGCCAGCATTAAGTTCACCCCCCTACCCTCTGTGATAAGTGTGTGTTGGAGGGCACTTGGTGTTGAAGATTATTTTCCTGCACTATCAGAGGAAAATCATGGAGGTGGAGGAAAATTTAAAGACTATAAAGTTGGATGTTTTTTTTTTTACAGATGCACATATTCATTTAGTTCATTTTTTGGTGGAGGAAATGTAAGGACTATACACCACTGGACATTTGCTGTACATACATATATTTTTTTTGTGTGCATGTTGTGTTTACACTTGAACTTATCACTTAAGAGTTTATAGATTCTTTATTCATAGTTTGCACAATATTTTACTAGTTCACAGATACACTATATTGCCGAAAGTATCGGGACACCCCTCCAAATCATCGGATTCCCAGAAGAGTTGAAGCTGTTATAGCTGCAAAGGGTGGGGCCAACTCAATATTGAACCCTACGGACTGGGATACCATTAAAGTTCATGTGCATGTAAAGGCAGGCGTCCCAATACTCCTGGCAATATAGTGTACGTCACGCAAATATAATACTTGCCTAGAAGAGTGGGCATTAGACTTAACCACCTCCTGCCCGCCATATAGTAATATGACGGACGCAAGGTGGTTCTCTCGTTCTGGGAGGACATCATACACTGTCCTCCCATTCTCACCGCGCATGTGCGGCTCTCGAAGCGCGGCGATCGGCAGTGCGCTGTGTCCCACAGACACAGCGGATCACCGATGCACGGAAGGAGCCGAAGATGTTGGCTCGGTCATGTGATCAGCTGTGTCCAATCACAGCTGATCACATGTAAACAGGGAAATGCCGGTTACACTGTTCAACAGGTAAAAAGTTTTGGGCATAAAATTAGCTAATCTTACATAATTTTGGGGTGCTGAAAACGAAAATGACCCTAAAAAATGTTGATTGGCTCTAGTTTCCATGATATATTCACCTAATGACGTAAGCCATTCAAAATTATGATGCAACTTCAGCTGCATATTGCGCAATTGATACTGGTGACCAATAGAAAATTGCATGTATACTGAGATGATGCAATATTAGCCTTTAATTGCATCACTTCACTGCATAAAAGCTGCAGTATCTGTAGCTGATTGTAGTTCGACAGCGTCTTTACATTTCGTTTTATGCTTATATAGGCTACTCAGTAATGCCTCGAACTTGTGTGAATAAAGCAGATAATTTCTGCTATATCTGCGGTGCAATAACTTTTATCTCACAAAAAAGGAGGATAACAGGAATGATTAAGAAAGCCTACAACTTGTATTTTGGCTGCAAGATAGGAGACCAGGACAAGAGCTGGGCACCACATATATGCTGCAATTCTTGTGGGACGGCACTGGAGCAATGGTTGAATGGAAAAAAGGCATCTATGCCTTTCGCTGTGCCAATGATTTGGAGAGAGCCAACAGATCATGTTAGTAATTGTTACTTTTGTATGGTGCCTCCAATTGTAAAAGGGCTAAATAAGAAGAAAAAGTTATCTGTGCACTATCCAAATATTCCATCGGCAATACGTCCAGTTCCTCATGGAGAGGGGCTACCAATTCCTAAAGCACCAGAATCCTTCGTGGTTGAGTCAAGTGAGGAAGAACCTGAAGCGTGTAGTCACGTGCAGTTGTAAGAGATAGCCCTTTCCTCGAATACAAGAGAAAAGCCAAGAGAAGCAAAACCGACACAAACTGAAGACAAAACTAGTGAGAATCCTAAGTATTAAAATGATTCAACTTAGCTTATGGCTATAATTTTTCTTGGTAATCCTATGCAATATATTATGCCATTTAGGCTTTGTTATGTAGTCAATATCACTTGCTTTATATTTGTGGAAAGACATCTATCTATATAATTATTGTGCATTATGTATTCATTACGCCTATAGTAGAAATTTTCCGTTTACAGAAAAACTAGAGCCAATTGACAAATTTCATTGTTATATTTGAACTCAGAATGTGAAATTCATTAAGAAATGGATCCTTTTGTTTCCAAAACTGACAAAAAATAAAAATTTGTTGAACAGTGTTATCGGCATTTCTCTCCCCACGAGCTGTCACGCTGACAGCTCGTAAGGAGAAGAGATCCGGTAATTGGCATTCCTCGGAGGGGACATCTACACAGATCATCAGAGCACTGATGATCAGTGTGCCCTGATGATCAGTGTAGCCCCAGCACTGCCACCTGTCAGTATCCATCAGTGCCAGCTCTCAGTGCTCATCGATGCCACCTGCCAGTGCCCATTAGTGCCACATATCAGTGCCCATCTGAGCTGCCTTTCAGTGTCACCCATCAGTGCCAGTCAGTGCCACCTAACAGTGCCAGTCAGTGCCACCTAACAGTGCCATACATCAGTGCCATGAGTGCTGCCTGTCAATGCCCATCAGTGACACCTATCAGTGCCCATCAGTGTAGCCTATCAGTGCCCATCACTGCAACCTCATTAGCGCATATCAGTGAAGGAGAAAAATCACTTGTTTACAAAATTTTATAACAAAAACTAAGAAAAATGATTAAAATTTCATATGGGTACAGTGTTGCATGACCGTGCAATTGTCAAAGTGCAACAGCGCTGAAAGCTGGAAATTGGCCTGGGCAGGAAGGGGGTATAAGTGCCCTATAGGCTAGAGGTTAAAGGAGAAGTACAGCAAAAACTCATTTGGCTGTACTTCTCATATGGATCTCAGGATTGCAGTTCGTTCTGCACTCTTGTGACCCGTTTTCAGCCAACAGTGGGCTACAGCATGCTGTTGGTTGAAGTCGGGATCCACCCAGATGGCTGGACCAGTAGTAGCTGGCTCAGCTTTCTAGCATGTCGCTGAGAGCCTGAGCCAGCCCCTTCCACCCCCCCCCCCCCCCCCCCAGCCTGGTGTTCTAGTGAGTGCTGGAGGGGCAGAACAGAGAGCCAACGACTGACAGTCATGGCTCTCTGCTCAGAGCGGAGGGGAGAACTGAGAGATCAATGGTGATTGATCACTGAGCTCTCAGGCTTAGAAGTGGTGGGGGAGTGATGCTGCATCCACCTAGGTAAGTATGATTCAAAAAAACAAAACCATACTTCTCTAAACCCTCATTTTTAGGCACTTTCAGCAGCCAATTTCAACCCCTCCTGAATGTGGAGCTTCTTTATCTTGTAATCCGTGCCTATAGTCTACTTTAACTGCCCCAGCTTTCCTATGTCAGGGAGGCTCCTTTCTCTTGCAGCATCCTATGAAACCACCCCTGCATGCAGGGCCTAGAGCTGTGTTTCTCTACACTGTGTGCAGAGAACACACAGTCCTGTAGCCTAGGATGGGAAGGCACTCCCCTATTCCTCCACTCTAATAACTGGCTGGACACTACACTGTCTACTCTTTCCTGAGAAGACTGGAAGTTCAGGGAAGCAGTACTGAGAGAGCAGGAGCCAGCAGCACTGAAAGTAGTAAACTGCAAGTGCCGGGGTAAGTATTTTACTTTAGTTGATTGAACTCAGTGTGTAAGGCCTTGTTCACACTAGCAGGGCTGGTAAAACTCAGCTGCTGTTGAACTCAACCCATTCAAGTGAATGAAGCTGTTCTGCAACTGCCCCATAACCACATGCAATGCACATAGTTTTGATGTGCATGTGCAGGGTTCAGGTGATTAAAGTAGGCAGAAAGGAGGCGATACAGCCTTCTCACCACCTGTTAAATGCTCTCTGAAGAGCAACCAGAACGTGGATCACTCTTCAGACAGCCACACAACTGTGAATGAGCCCCTAAATGTAAAAACACTTTAAGACTACTTTAATGAAAATCTATATCTACTGATGATTGGTCCTGTACAAGATTCAAAAAAATATTTAAATTTCTTTTAAGCCAGTATTGTACACAACTCAGAGACTTCTTATAGGAAAAGGCTCAAGTAAGAAACCTTTGGATGTCGATGCAGAACATACTGAGAAATGCTTCCTGCAAAAGAAGAGTTTCAACGCTTGCCCTCCCACCCATGTTGCCATTTTTTACTTCCTTGAAGAGCTAAACCATCCAAAGAATCTTTAGATTGGCCATACACTATACAATTTTCCTTTAGATTTACCAAAACCATACAATATGAGCTCAGACCTAACCACTTTCAGTTGGTATGCAATTAGGAGGGCCCTTGCATTACATAATTTAAGGTAAATCTAAAGGAAATTGAACAAGAAGATTGTATAATGTGTGGCCAGTCTTAGAATTTAACACTTTTCCAGGAGAGTCTCATTACTAGTCCACCTGTGTGTGTTATGGTACCAGTCATTGGCTGCTACATCCATACAGAACAAGGTAGGGTGCAGTGACCAGCAGGAGTGACCATAGGAGGGGACCAGGGAGATCAGTGGCACTGTAGGTAGTACAAGTAAAAGGTACTAACCAGGGGTGGACTGACAACTCATGGGGCCCCCGGGCAATAGGGGATCATGGGGCCCCTGTGTCCTTGCCCAAACTCAAAAAAGCCTATGAAAAAGGTACCAGGGGCATCTCATGGGGCCCCCTACTGACCCCGGGCCCTCGGGCAGTGCCCGAGTTTCCAAATGGTCAGTCCACCCCTGGTACTAGCAGGTCTAAAGTTGGACATACACTATATAAATCGGATCATACAATCTCCTTTGCATTTACCCAAACTGTGTCAGAAGAGGAAACACCTAAACGTTCTATTCAATTTGTACCCAATTAGGAAGGCCCTGCTCTGTATGATGTATGGTGTAGTCTATAACCACTTGAAGGCTGGGCCTATTCTGATGCTTGTTTACACCTAAAAATCAGCATTTTTTTGCTACCAAACATATACTGTATATACATATATATATATATATATATATATATTTTAGAAAAGAGCAGAGGCCCTAGAGAATAAAATGGTGGGCATTGCAATTTTATGTCACACAGTATTTGCGCAACAGTTTTTCAAACGCAATTTTTTGGGGAAAAATTGCTCTTTAATGAATTTTAATGCAAAAAAAAACCCCACAATATATAATCCAATTTTTACCAGTTACGTAAGGTTACCAGTATAGAGTTACAGAGCAGGTCTAGCAGTAGATTTATTGCTCTTGCTATGATGTTCATGCTGAAACCTCGCATGTGTGGTGCGAACATCATTTTCATCTGCGTTTACTTCTGCTGAACACTTTAAAAAAAATTTTTTTTTTTTTTTTACACTGTCCCTTTAAATTTTTTTTTTTTTATTACTTTTATTCCTATCAAAAGAGATTTAAACATGTCTTGTCATAAAAATAAGGGATGCCAGGTCCTATATATGGACCCCATATCTCTTATCTATTCGGGAAAGCATGAGATTTAAAAAAAAAAAAGTATTTACCTCTGCATTAACTTCAAGTGAAGTACTGAAGTTGCTTCCGATCTCCTAGACCAGCTCTATGATAACCCAGCAGCACCTCCAGATTGTGTACCAGGCTCCCTGGTCACACAAGAGAACACGGGAAAGTCATGGTGGCAAGGGGCTTCCCCTTCCACTGCCTGTTAAAGCAATCCAAGGGCTAAACAGCTGCTTTTAATTGATTTTAGATGAAAATGTATCACCGGCTGAAAAAAAAAATAGCAGGGTTATGGCATACAGCTACATCCATAACCCCGGTATAAACACTCGAAGCCAATCATGTACATGTACGTGATTTGATGTCAAGTGGGTAATAGCCACCTTTATCCTCTAGCTCGCAATTCATTTTTCATTGATGAAACACTTTTCTTGAGAAGGACCTGCTCAGAGCGATTAGCTTCATTCCCTGTGCAGGGCCATCTTTTTCCGACACAGGGATGTATAGGTGTTGCATGCACCACCGTGATGGTGTCAGCTTGTCTTCTATTGGGACACCCGGCTGTGTGTGTTTGGGGGCCTGCACCTCACCACAGCATCTGTGGCCATGCAGCCATATATCCAAATAGACATCAATGGAACCCCGGGCCGTGGATGCATGGGACACCTGTGCATCCCCATGCTGGGAAAAAGACAGCCCTGCACAGGGCAAATTGCCCCATGTGAACGTAGGTGCAGTGCTCTGCAGCCTCTTAAGAAAAAAAAAAATGAAAAAAAATAAATAAAATTTTTTTTTTTTGCAAGTGAACTTATCCTTTAAATAAAATAGAACATCCTCTGGAACTCTCAACCTTAATCTGTCCAGTTATCCCCTACTCGGGATGACTTGAAGCGATCCCTGAAAACTCATCACTTCAGGGAAGCCCATCATGTCTCTGAATAGACATTTATCACTTCCATCAGCTCCTCCCCCACAGTTACAACCTTTTGTACCACTTACCACACCCTATTAGATTGTAAGCTCTTATGAGTAAGGCCCTCTTAATCCTCCTGTTTTGATTGTATTGTAGCTGTACTGTCTCCATTTATATTGTAAAGCGCTGTGCCAACTGTTGGCGCTATACAAGTCCTGTATAATAATAATCCATCCCGGTCTACTCCAAATCTGAAGAGGATCTGTTCACGGGTCCTCTACTGAGTACACTCATGTAAAAAGAACCTAAATGCCACCTTTGGACATGGCAACACTCTGCTAGAGCTGCATCCAAACTAGCAGACTAGCTGCAGACAGAATTCTGCAGAAATGCCAACCCTGGACCGGGGCGGACTGACCATTTGGAAATTCAGGCACTGCCCAAGGGCCCGGGGTCAGTAGGGGGCTCCATGAGATGCCCCTGGTACCTTTTTCATAGGCTTTTTTGAGTTTGGGCAAGGACACAGGGGCCCCATGATCCCCTATTGCCTGGACAGAGAGGTGGAGACTCTAGAATCAGGGGTGGCCAACCTGCGGCTCTCCAGCTGCTGCAGGACTACAAGTTCCATCATGCCTCTGCAAGTCAGTAACTTCCCATCTTTGCAATGCCTCATGGGAAATGTAGTTCCACAACAGCTGGAGAGCCACAGGTTAGCCACCCCTGCTAGATGCTCATATATGCGGTTACATGTGAACAGCAAAAGCACTGACTAATCTGACAGTTGCTTCTGGTAGCTAAACACAGGCAGCGTTTAGAATCGCCAGTGAGAATCTACCGATATTTGCTGTCCGCCATGTG